TAAGCTTAGCTGGGTCCTTTCGAGTTTGTTTTACAGCTTACTAGGTTAAGTAGTTTGCACTATTTTTGCAATAAATTCATGGAAATCCTAACAGTTACTTGTTTTGTTTCTTACTGTGTGTATATAAACTAATACTAAAAGTTTGGCATAGTGTTTTTTCACCTCCTTACATAAACCTTAACATGCACAGAATGCTGTAAATCTGATCAAATATGATGTGAATGATATTTTATAAAGTTATTTTGTATGGTGTCAGTTTTGTTTTGCCTCATAGTATGTCAGCAAAAAAATAAAATAAAACCTCTCGTATTTACAGCTGCCTCTCCCCAGCTGGTCATTCGCGCGCAGCTGGGCGTGAGCTCACGGGGCTCGGTCAGGCCCCCGGGAAGGCTCCTCAGCCCCCGAGAATTCAGGTTGGGGGCGGGGGGCGGCTGGCCTGCGCCAGCAGCTGTGAGAAAGGCAGAGGCAGGGGGGACCTGACCGTGTGGGGCCGCCCCTCACTCCACCTGCTGACCTCTCCGCTGTCAAAGGCCTCAGAACACCATCACCAGGTGTCGGAACCAGAGGGAAAGTGTGAGGAGAGCCACTGGGCACGGGCGTGGAGGTGCCCAGAAGTGGTTTCTGCGGCAGACCTGCCCTAAGAGCACCCGGCAGCTTCCAGAGACCAGGTCCCCTTGGCCGGCCCGCAGCTCAGGCTCAAGGGGGAAACGGGCCCCGGAGCAACCCGGCACACAGTGAGCCCTGAGGGAGGAGGAGGGCCAGGTGTGCTCAAGTTGTTCCTGCGCTGCGCGGTGGCGGCCATGGAGCACTGGGCCTCCAGAACGCGGAGGTGAAGCCTCCCGCTAGCCCTCTGCGCCCTCTCCCCTGCCTGCTTCCCAGCCGGAAACAAGATCAAGGTGGGGAGGTGAGCAGGAAAGGGTTTCGGTGCCTGCCTTGCACAGAGCAGACCAAAGTTCGGCCCCGCCAGGCATGAGCCCTGGGAGTCGCAGGCCAGGCCCACCTCCCTCCTCTCCACACAGAAGAAAGAAGTCCAGATGTGTTTCCCCCTTAATGTTTCCAGGGCCGTGTACTTGGCTCCAGAACCAGAAAGCACCTGCACGCCCCCTGCCCGGTGCCCACCTCCAAGGTGATCACCACCGCGACCTCATCAGAAAAGGAGCACTTGGTGCCCAGTCTTCTGACGTGGGATAGGATTCAGGATTCTGGGAATGGAGCGCCAGGTGTCCCACGTGTGGGATGGGAGGTTTGCGTGGAAAGCAGTAAGGTGCACGACCAAACTCGCAGCCCACCGACTGTGGGGCAGGACGCATGGCCCCATAGCAGGTCCCACCTCTCTCTTCCTGGCTGCTCCTGGGACTGACTGGTCTTCACCAGCCTGTCTGCATTCATTCCCTTTGACAGAAGTGGCGGGCCTGCAGGTACCGAGGTAAGCCTCCCGGACACCCACTCAGACAAGCGCCCTGGCCTTCGTGACTGCTCTATTATCTGTTCCTTTTTTCTTTTCCTCTAGGTGCTGGAGATAGAATCCAGGGCCAAACCAAAAGCTATTTTCGTTTTCATTTTTGGTTTTGGGGTCACACCCAGCAGTGTTCTGAGCTCACGCCTGGCTCTGAGCTCGGGGATCACTCCTGGTGGGGTTTGGGAGATTATAATGGGATGCTAGGGATCGAACTTAGCTTGGCCACCTGCAAAGCAAGCGCTTCTAACACTGATCACGAAAAGATGAGGCATCATTGTAGGATAACATTGGTTTGTCATTTCTCCCTGGCCACCAGGAGCTTAGGTTTATCGGGTTACAGCCATCACAGTGCTCCCAAGTCACTCCCATTCGTCTGTGTTTATCTGTAAACTCTTGTCTGTGCTCTCCTCCCCAACCAGTTAATCACCTCCAACACCTCCCCGGCCCCCCTACATCAGATTCTGTTAACTTGTAAGGTCAGATCCTTCTAAAAGACACTTAACTTGTAAGTTAAATACTGCTTTTCCCCATCCTTTGCATAGCGATAGCACAACCGGTAGGGCATTTGCCTTGCACGCGGCCAACCTGGGTTCGATTCCTTCATCCCTCTTGGAGAGCCCGGCAAGCTACCAAGAGTATCCCGCCCGCACAGCAGAGCCTGGCAAGCTCCCTGTGGCGTATTCGATATGCCAAAAACAGTAATAAGTCTCACAATGGAAACGTTACTGGTGCCCGCTTGAGCACACTGATGAACGACAGGACAGTGCTACAGTGCTACTTTAAAGCAATGTCCTTTCGGTACGGAAACAGGAAGACATTTAATATTACGCTTTTGTAACTTAGGAGTTAATTGACTCCAAATAATATTCACTTCCAGATATCTGCTTTCCCGACTCAGTTGTCCTTAGTTCCTAGCACCCCAAAAGTAGGATCCCGATGAGGGACTGAATGGACCCAGGGCAAGCTGTGAACTACCCTGGCATCGAAACGGGCCAGGCCAAGCGCCATAATACTCAACTAAAGTGAAGAGCATGGGGCTGGAGCGATAGCACAGCAGGTAGGGCGTTTGCCTTGCACGCGGCCAACCTGGGTTCAATTCCCAGCATCCTATATGGTCCCCTGAGCACCGCCAGGAGTAATTCCTGAGTGCAGAACCAGGAGTAATTCCTGAGCATTGCCGGATATGACCCAAAAAGCAAAAAAATAAAGAGCATGGTCATGGACAAATGCTGTCATGATCCAAAATTAACTATGAGATTAGGACCCTGCTAGGGATAGGAAAGACTAATCTGCCCCGAGCACTGTAGTCTGAGATCAAGATGACCCCGGAGACCCCAGGAGAGCAATTCTATAAACTTGACATACCTCTTACTGTGTGCATACAAAATGACATTGCTAGAAATATTAGAAATAAATTTACAATGACTAAGTGCCCGCACGGCAGAGCCTGGCAAGCTCCCCGTGACGTATTCGATATGCCAAGCACAGTAACAACTAGTCTCATAATGGAGACGTTACTGGGCCCGCTCGAGCAAATCATGAACAACGGGAAGACTGTGACTGTGTGAAGTGGATTACTAGCTGGGGAAAGAAGAAAGCAACACACCCTGAATGGAATCCCGCCCTTGAGTGGATCTCCTAGTAATTCGGAGGAATCCCTTTAGATGAGATTTTTGTCCTTGAGGAGTGGCCTTACCTCTCTTTGTTGATTTGTTAATGTTCAACCCTACCTTTGTATCCCCACCCTACATCCCCACCCTACATGATTTCTATATAAACTAGGCTGTGAGAGTGGGCTGGGAGGCGGGAAGGAGAATGAGGGGAGCCAGAAGGAGCCAGAAGGAGAATGAAGGGGGGTCAGAGGAGAATGAAGAGATTGGAAGAAACTGCAGTTGATGCCGACCAGCCTGGCCGTCATCCCTTCCTTCGCCTGCCCATCGCCATCGGCCTTCCTGGGGTGGGGGGAAGTGGCAAGCGGCAGGAGAGACAGAATGCTGCAGCCCTTTAGAAAATGCACACATCACGAGATAGATGACTTTTGTAGTAGCTGCTGAAAGGAGTAATGAGGGGCCAGATTGTATGGTGGGCTGGCCCACTTAGCAGGACTCAGAACTATTGGGCTAGGGCCAGAGCGAGAGTACAGCAGGTAAGGCACTTGCATTTGCTTTGCATGTGCCCTACCTGGGTTTGATCCCCGGCATCCCCTATGGCCCCCCAAGCACCACCAGGACTAATTCCCGAGTGCAGAGCCAGGAGTAACCTCTGAGCAACACACCTAAAAAAATAAATAAAACAACTATAGGACCAAGAGTGTTTTTTAATTAATTTTGCTTTTTGGGTCACACCCGGCCATGTACAGGGGTTACTCCTGGCTCTGCACTCAGGAATTACACCTGGTGGTGCTCAGGGAACCATAGGGGATGCTGGGAATCGAACCCGGGCCAGCTGTGTGCAAGGCAAACGCCCCACCAGCTTTGCTATCAGTCTAGCCCCAAGAGTTGGTTTTTAAAATATTTTCGGAACCAGAATGATAATGTAGTGGATAGAGCATTTGCGTTGCATGCAGCACCCCATGTTTGGAGCACCACCAGGAGTACTTCCTGAAGCAGAGCCGAGAGTAACCCCTGAGCACTGCCAGGTGTGAACCAAAAACCACTTTTATTTTAGGAGTCCGAGTGATAGTACAGTGGGTACAGCACTTGCCTCGCATGCGGAGGACCTGGGTGCAATCCCCAACACTCCATACGGTCCTTGAGCACTACCAGGTGTAATTCCTGAGCACAGAGCCAGAAGTAACCCAAGCATTGCCAGATGTGGCCCAAAAACACAACAAAAAGTATTTTAAAATCAACTTGAAAATACACAGGACAGAAAACCCTAGTACTAAGTGAAGCATTAGTGGGGGTGACAGAACTGTCCACACACTCTAACGTGTGTTACCAGATTCAAATCGTAACCATTTCTACAAGATCAGAAAGACAAGAGCCAAAAGCTTCGTGTGTGGAGGTGGGGAGTTGGGGAGAAGGCTGTAGAAACAGCTATTCCTGGTTTTCTGGGGTGCACACCCAGCAGTCAGCCACTTGGCATCCACACCTGGATTCCAACCCCTTCAGCCAACCAGAGTCGTGACAAATGGGGAGGTATCTTTATGCTTTTAAGTCATCTTTAAGAAAAGCATGAAAATATATATACATATGTATATATACACACATACACACACACACATATATTTTTTTTTCCCTTTTCGGATCACACCCAGAGATGCTCAGGCATTACTTCTGGCTCTGACTCAGGAACTACTCCTGGTGGTGCTCAGGGGACCATATGGGATTTGGGGGACTGAACTTGGGCTGACTTCGTGCAAGGCAAATGCCCTCCCCGCTGTGCTATCGCTGCAAGCCCCAAGAGCAGTATTTCTTTCTGGATATAACAACTTTCGTCTGGATGTTAAAAATGCTTCTATTTTAATTGCACAAAAATCTCAGAGTGATGGGACTCTAGAACAAATTCCACATTTATTTTACTATAAAAAAATACATAGTTTTTAATAAAAATGGGTGATTTATTGGAGTACAAATTTTTTTTTAAATACAAAATTCAAATCTAACGTACTGTGCCCCAAAGCTGTCATTTTTAAACAAGTTTCCAAGAACTATTTACTACGTGTTTAGTTTTTGACTAGAACTGATTTCAAAACCTGCATTCACGTGTGGATGTACACAGCTGGCACTTGGCGCTAAAAGCTGGAAGGCAGAATGCAAACTGCCCATGCCTTGGGCGCAAGCTGGGGCAGCCGTGAGGGGGCCGGGTCCAGGGGGCAGTGCAGGTCCCTGCTCCGGGCACGTGGCCAGCGGGGCTGAAGGCAGGTCCCCCGGGATGGCGGCTGGAGCTGACCTTGGGGTTAGGATTCCGTGGCGTCGGCATTCTCTTCCTCGTCCGAGCCCCTCTTCTCCTTGAGCATTTTCAGATACTTACTCGCTAAAATCTTCTTTGGTAATATATCTGAAAGACAGAAGGTGACAGGCATCGGCATGGTGCTCGTGTGGCCGAGGCTTTCCAGCCCACCAGTATCCCCTCCCGGACCAACAGGGCGCGCTGCCCGCCTCCTCCAGCCCGCACACAGTTCTGTGGGCTTGCCCTCCGGTCACGCATCTTGGTGCGTGCTGTGACGTCGTACACCATCCCGGCAGGGCTCTCGCTTACCTGCCAGAAACTGGAAGGTGTCGGAGTCCTCGGCGGTGCTGGACAGGTCGCTGTAGGTAAGCGCCTTCTTCTCCTTGCCTCCGCCGTGTCTGTACGAGTAGGTGGCCAGGTACTGCACGAACAGCTCCTGCAAGCAGCATACAAGGACAACAGGCGTCCTGGGCCCTCAGAGAGAACTCGGGGATGGGGACTCGGGGCTTAGCTCCCGGTGGGGTTCAGGGGACCTGCGGGGTGTTGGGGATGGGAGGCGAATGCCCTCCCCTGCACCAGAACTGAATTCTCCAATTAGAGTGTCTTGCAGGCTGTCTTGGCACACCTCGGGTTTCCCAGGAAATCCCCAAGAAAGGGGAGAAAATGAGGTGAGAAAAAAAAAAGCGTGTCAGTTGGTAGAAGCAGGCACTCCTCTTACGAAGTCTGTATTTTGAACTTAGGAAAGTCTATGACAGTGATTCCCAGTGACTCGGGTGCATGAGGCCCAATCTCTGGAGAAGGGATTAGAATGGAAGCACTTGTACGGGGTGACGGGGGCAGTTACAGCCAAAATGCTCAACATACTGCCCAACTGTGACAAACAGGACCAAATCCCTTTCTGGGTGTGGCAGTTGGCAGTGCTGGGAGTACCAGGGACAGGGGCCCGCCCATGCACGCTTGGCAAAAGGGACCCTCCCTTTCCTTTCCTGAAAGTGCAAGGCACCTGCCTAGCTTGGGATGTGGTGCCCGGCAAGCCTGTGCCCCCGCCTGGCTGACCTTGGCCCATTCCCGTCTGACTTGGGCTCCTAAGCACCCCGGTCCCTCTGCACCCCTTGCACTCATCCGGACAGAGGAAGCCAGTTCGGGTGGCTCAGACGGTCACAGGCCAGGGCCAGCTCGGCCATGGCACAAAAACAAGTTCGCTCAAAAGCGCCAAACTTTGCACGCGTTGGGGGGGTTCCCGCCCCCCCCCCCCCCCGCACTACCAGCTGCGCCCAGACCCCAGGAGAACCACCAAGTCCGTAGCCTCCTTCTTCCGAGGTCCAAGTTGAGTGTGGGGAGAGGCTTTGGGGTCAGGGTGGGGGGGTGCGGCAGCACCTCCTTCGGGAACCCCGCCAAGCCCGCGTTTTCCAGGGCGCCCAGGGGCCCACTGACGAGTGCAGGTCCCCGAGTCAAGAAACAAATCGAGGGGCTGGAGCGACAGCACAGCGGGGAGGGCGTTTGCCTTGCACGTGGCTGACCCGGGTTCGATTCCCAGCATCCCATATGGTCCCCTGAGCACCGCCAGGAGTAACTCCTGAGTGCAGAGCCAAGAGTAACCCCTGTGCATCGCTGGGTGTGACCCAAAAAGCAAAAAAAATAAAAAAAGGAAAGAAAAGAAAAGAAACAAATCGAAAGGGAAGGGCGGGGCAAGAAAGGCACGTGCCAGGGGGAAAGTGTGCGGTAACCACCTTCGGCCGGGCGCGGGAGCGCGCGGGGAGGGGCGGGGCCAGGCGACGAGGGAGCGGGGCGGAGCCAGGAGGGGCGGAGCGAAGCGGGGTGGGGCTGGAACTGGGCGGAGCAGGAGGAGGGGCGGGGCAAGGCTGGGTTGGGGCGGGGCCACCCGGGGAGGGGCGGGACCAAGAGAAGGGCGCGCGGGGAAGGGCGGGAAGGGGGCGGGGCCAAGAACGGCGCTCGGGGAACTGCGGGAGCAGGCGGGGCCAGGCGAGGAGGGGGCGGAGCGAAGCGGGGCGGGAACTGGGCGGGGTAGGAGAGGAGGGGCGGGGCCAGGCTGGGTTGGGGCGGGGCCATCCGGGGCGGGGCGGGGCCAAGGGGACGCGGCGCTGCGGAAGCGCGGGGGGCGCGCGGGGGCGGGGCCAGCAGTCGGAGCGCGCGCGGGCTCGGGTGCGCGCGGCGGCGGCGGCGGCCCCGAGGCAGGCGGCGGGGGCGCGCGCGCGCGCGAGCCCGGGAACAGGCCACCGGGGCGCGGGCCTGGAGGGCCAGGCCGCGCGGCGGAGTCCGGCGGGCGGGGCGGGCCGGGCCGCGACGGTTCCAGGCGGCGCCCGTCCCCGCCCGCCCCCGCTCTCCTCCCGGCTCGCGGCCCGCCTCACCGTGGCCTTGGCCGTGAGCACCAGCGCCTCCTGGTTGATACTGGACACCTCGGGGGAGCTCTTCATGATGACGCGGATGCGGGACAGGGGCAGGGACACGAGCCGCTGGTCCCCGCACTTGTCTTTGCCGACGGCCGCGTCCGCCATCTTCGCGCCCCTCCCGCGGGCGGCGCGGGGACCCGCCGCGAGGTGCTCGGGCCGGTGCGGGGCGGCGTCCCGCTGCCCCCTGGGAGTTGTAGTCCCGCGCCGGGCGCCGGACTACGAGTCCCGTGATGCCCCGCGCGCGGCCCCGCGCCTGCGCAGACGACGTGGGCTGTGCCCGCGGGGAAAGGGACGTGGGCGGGAGGCGGCGGGCAGCGGGGTGGGCCTTGTGCACCGTGTCGGGCGGGGGGGGCCTCTCCGCGAGTTTCGGGGCGTCTCTCCGCTCCCCGCCCCGACAGTGCAGCTCCAGGCCGCGGGGGCGGGGAGCTCAGTGGGCACACTAGGGCCTTGCAGGGGGCGGGGCGGCCCAGCCCCCACCCCAAGACCCCCCAAACACCCAGCCCGGAGTCGCCCCTGAGCACTGAGCACTGCCGGGCGTGACCCAAAGTCAAAACAGTGAAGCACCGGCTGCAAAAGCTACGCGAGGAGCATTTTCCCCGGTGCCAGTTCATTTTAAGGCTATAAAGGAGGCGCTGGGGGCAGAGCGAGGCCTGCAGGAGGGGCGCCAAGTTCCAGCCCCTGTCCCCTACGTGGCCCCCTCGGTGATTCCTGAGCACTGCTGGTGGGCGTGCCCCCTTGGAGGGCGATTGCGGGGTCCCTGCAGGAGCCAGCGCTGGTGTGCCCGTGGAGGGAGGCGCCTCCCGCCCCGACCGAGTCCTGCCTCCACCTGCGGACAGGACAGGGCGAGGACGGGGGACGGATGAGCCGGCCGGAACTGGAGCCTTTGGGACTCAGTGGAAAAGCTGAGTCTTGTTTTTTTTCCTTTCGTTTGTTTTTGGTCCGCACTCAGCAGCACTCGGGGCTCACCCCTGTGTGCACTCAGGCATCACTCCTGGTGGGGCTGGGACCACGTGGGGCTCCCAGGATCAAGCCCGGGTCGGCCCGTGCGAGACAAACACCCTCCCCGCTGTCCTGCCTGGGTGAGCCTGTGCTTCCCCGCGAGGTCAGCTGGGGTCGGCTCAGTCTTGCTGGACCTCTTGCTCCGAAGCCGGTTTGCAGCTGCCTTCCGGGAGGCTGGCTGGCACCGCACCTGCTGAACAAAGGTCCTGAGTGGGCAGGTGTGTGGACACACTGGGGCAGGGGCTCCTGTCCTGGCACTCAGTAGCCCCCCAAAGCACCACCAGGGTGGCCCCAAATCTGAGAAATAAATAAAACGGAGGCTGGTGGTCTGGGAAGGACGAGGCTCCCCGGGAGAGCCGTGGCAGGGACGGCAGGCCAGCTCAGGCTGTGAGCAGGGTGGTGTGGGGGCAAGTGTCAGGGACAGCCCAGGGGGGCTGCACAGAGGCAGAGGGTCCATCCACCCACAGCGCTGATCGTACAGGGAGTCTATTTCAGGTTGTGAAGCCCGGGTCGCACACAGGACCCAAGAGGGAGAAACCCCCGGGAGTGGGCCCAGCAGGGTCTCCTAGCCCCCACAGCCCAGCGGAGGTGTCAGGAGGGAGGGGTGTGCTTTGTCTCACAGCTCGGCAGAGGAGACCGAATTCATCTCCTGGAAGCAAGGAGGGGACACAGCTTGTTTAAACCTCAGAATCAAGCTGGAGCAAGCGACAGCGGGGAGGCCGCTTGTGGCTGACCCGGGTTCAATACCTGGCACCCCCCCCCCCCCAGGGGCTGGAGCGATAGCACAGCGGGTAGGGTGTTTGCCTTGCACGCGGCCGACCTGGGTTCGATTCCTAACATCCCATAGGGTTCCCTGAGCACCGCCAGGGGTAGTTCCTGAGTGCAGAGCCAGGAGCAACCCCTGAGCATCGCCAGGTGTGACCCAAAAAGAAAAAAAACAAACCTGGCACCCAGAGGATCGCCTGTGCCCTACCAGGAGGGAAATCTGAGCACAGAGCCAGGAGTAAGCCCTGAGCACTGCTGGGAGTGGCCCAGAAGCCAAAAACAAGTGTTGAAAGTGAGGCCCGCCCACCAAGACAGCACAAAGCAGAGACCGGAGGTGAGCCCCACACCCGCCCTGCCTCCAGCATCCTGGGCCTCTGCACAGGCTCCTCCCAGGGCTGCCATAGGGAGGCCACTGCCCGCGGACCGAAGCCAGCCGGTGTTACCCCACAAAGGGGCTGATTCCTGACTGCGTGGGTCCTTGAAGATCGTCTGAAAGGCCCCACAATCAGAACTCGTGCTTCAGAAGTGGATTGTGCGCTCCGTTTCGGTTTTTCTGCCTCGGCCCGTGCTGCTCGGGCTCCCTGTGGGCGCGTTGAGGGTTGATGGGCCTCTTGCAGTGCAGGGACATGCCCTGTCCCCATGACCCGTTCCACGTTCCCACCTCCCGTGACCCCCCCCCCCCACGCCTGCCAGACACCCACCCACCCACGCCCCCATGAACTCTGAGATTCAGGACAGGCGGAGAGGCCAGAGCACATGCTCTGGGCCCAGCAGTGCCAGGACCAGGCCCCCCACAGGGACTGGCCCCGATCACTGCAGACGGGGCATTGCTCCAAACAAGCTGTTGAAAGTATTTCACGTGGGCAACCCTGCTTTGGTCTCTGGTACCACATATGGTCCCCAGAGCCCCTCCAGGAGTGAGTCCCAAGTACAGAGCCAGGAGTGAGCCCTGAGCACCACTGTGTACCCCTCAAAATAACAACAACAACAAGTTCAAATAACTAGTGACACGTAATTTATACTCCAGAACATTCACTCACTTTACAAGTCACTGGTTTTGGTGCAAGCACCATACGCACAGGTCCAGGACGTTTATCACCCCTTCATTAAGTTCGGGGGTCAGGGACGTGACCAGAGTTAAGGCACTGACCCAGAGCCAGGAGTGGCCTCTGAGTGGTCCAACCCCAAGAGGAGCCGAGCTTGGTTGGATGCGTGAGGAGGACACGGTGGTTAAGGACGGGGCGAGTGAGGGTTCGGGGACTCAGCGGCTGCTGTTCCATGACTGCAGGGCTGGAGAGTTTTCACTGTTTTGGGGGCGTTCCCATGGTGAGGGGACCTCCAGGCCACACCAACGATGGGACTCCACCCTCCGCACTGTCTGGCCGGTCTGCCACGGAGACTGGTGCTTGTGGCTGTGGGTCTGACTTGGGCTGACGCGCACAGCAAGGACTTGACCGCCAGCTGCCTCCACAGCCCCTGCTGGCCAAGCTGCAAAGACGGTGATGTGTGTGTGTGCGTGTGCATATGTGTACATGTGCGTATGCACGAGCACATGTGTGTGCATATGTGTGCATGTGTGTGTGCTCGTGCCTGTGCATGGCTTTGTGCATATGTGTGCGTGAGTGCACACACGTGTGTGCGCACGCGTGGGTTCTGTGGGTGCCGCGCATCCTTCGTGGAGGCCAGTCTGTTTGCGTCTCTGTCCCACTGTGGCGTCCTGTATCAGGTGAGTGGATGTGGATGTTCTCCGTGATTTGCTCCTTTCTCTCCTCGGATGTCTTCAAGCATTCCTTAGCTATTGCTGCATACTAAAAATGGTCTAGGGGACAAGGGGCTTGGGAACAGCCGGAGGTGCCGGCAAGGTGCTGGCCAGGGCTGCGGTCGAGGCCAGGTGATGCACCCACACGGGTGTTGACCTGAGCCCTCTTAGGGCCAAACTGGAACCCGCCACTGGGCAGACTCCGCATGAAGGCCCCACGGCACAGGCCTGACCATCTGTGTGCCTCAGTACCTGTCACGCCGTGACCCTCCTTATCAATGTCTCTCTGTGTCTCTTTGCAACTTGGAAGGGCCGGGGCCATAGCACATGGGCTAAGTCACTTCTCCTGCCTGCAGCCAACCCCTGTCCCCTGGGGTCTGGGATCTGGGGACTGTGCAGGACAGGACTTAGACACAGGCCAGGCGCGTGCTCCAGCCACAGACCTCCAGCTCCCTCCCTCCCTCCCTCCCTATCTCTTCCTCTCTCCCCCTCCTCCCTTCCTCTCTCCCTCCCTCTCCCCCTCTTTTTCCCTCTCCATTCTCCTCTTTTCTTTTCCCTCTCTGCCTCTCCCCTCTCTCTGTCACCCTCTGTCACCCTCTTTCTTTATCTTTGCATGCGTATAGGCAACCACCCCATCTTCTCCCTCCTGTGAATGCCCCCTTTCTCTTCCCTCCTCCGTCCTGGGCTCTGGCGTGTTCCCACACCTGCACTGTCTGGCCCAGCTGTGGTGAGCGCCACGTCCAGAGTCCAGGTCTCTCGCTGGTTTTGTTTCTGTCACACCTGCTAGTTCTCCAGGGCTATTCCTAGTCGGTGCTGTGTGTGGGGTCAGGGCGTGTCTCGGGGGTCTCTCATGTGGAGCGTTGCGGGGATTCGCGCGCAGGCGTTACCGCTGGGTCACAAGGAATCCAGGGCCGCCTAACATAAGGGCCGCCCCGGCCGAGTTGCGGGCTGTAGGTGGCTGTGCGTGAACAGATGGCATCTGGGGCCATGGGCTGAGCTTGGCACCGCGCCATGCCAGGCGTGGCTGTACCCTGAATCCTTCCCAGCCCCATCCCCCAGACTGTGAGCTTCATGAGCTGTTCACCGACCTCAGTTACCAGCCCTTTGCCTGCTGCACGATGGTACGACTCTTTCTCTGCCCGAGGTCACTGTTTGGGCCACACCTGACTGTGATCAGGGCCCTCTGCTGTGTTTTTTTTTTTTTTAACAGTTTGTAGTTTTTTATCATAATAAAAATTGTTGGGGCCGGAGGGATAAACAGTAGTGAGGGCACATGGCCAGCCTGGGTTCGATCCCTGGCACCACATGCAGACCCCACCCCCCCAGCCCCACCAGGAGTGATTGCTGAGCACAGAATCAGGACTAAGCCCTGAGCACCACTGGATTGGGAGCCAAAAACTGAAAGAGTGTACTTCTGTAGGACGCCTGAATATTTTTCTTCATCTGGAACCACATTGGCAGCTTTGCTATCAGGTGAAATACTGCTTTTTCAGTTGTTGTACAGCACCATGCATTTGAATGGAAGGTTTATGTTCATGAAACCTTTGCTGATGCTAGGAATATCCGAGGAGGTATAGTATGGCTGAGAATTCTGATAGGTGTTTTTGGAATGGCAAACGCCCAATCCGCCGGGCTGGAGCCTTGGCCAGAGGTCAGGGCTCCGGG